TTGCTCAAATATAATATTATAATTATTATTTTTATTTGTAAAAAGAAATAATAAAATAACCATTACCTTAAAATTGTTTGTTCTTACATCCTTTTGCCCCACTCTCTCTCTCTGAAGAAACAAACAGCCATAAATACAATGTCTGTCTGTAGGCTGTATGCATCTCTTCTTACACCTAAATTTCTCCAAGAGAATACACAAAAACTCACACATATAAATATGTGCAATCAATGATATACCTGTATTCAAACCAATCCTTTATTATCTGCTTCTTCTTGATGAGGTTCAAACATCAAAGCCTCCATAAATGGCCTCAATCCCATCCCCATCTCAATTAGATTCTCCGGCCGACAATCAGAAACTCGACTTCGACACTATAAAATCGCTCGTCACCGTAATTAATCGGTACACGCACGCCATTCTCGAAAACACAGAAGCTCGAGAGGCCTTAAAGGTAAAATGCACTTCAAAGCTCAAGATACAACCACAAGAGTTTTTCGAATTTTCAGAGCACTCGGTGCTGTCTAATCTCTACTGGGGCATAGAAAACGCCGAGTCGGCGTATCTAGCTCGAAATGCGGACGAGAAAATGATCAAGCTCGATAGCTCGGAAAAAATGCTTCAGATTCCAGCCTCACTGGACGAAAATGGGGTCACGATGGGAATTTCGAACGGCTACTTAGTTTGCTGCTCGTATTTTTACCTATCGGTGGTCGAGTTTGTGAGGAGAAATGAATGGCAGGTGGCTATGCATTTTCTTCAGGCGGTTTTAATATGTCCGAGGAGTGTACGCACGGTATTTGCCCCCGGAATCTACCGGAAGCTTTTGCCGATTTTCGTTAGGCATAAGTTTGAGAAAGAGTTGTTGTGCGGTAGTCGACCAAAAAATATTGGGACACTTAATAGCGATTTTGATGATGATGATGAAGATGATGTAATGAGATGGATGGCAAAAACATATAAGCCCTGGTTTGTTTACTATCAGATTGTGTCGAGTGGCGAGTTGAAAAACAGAGGAAGTGGAACTTGTTTGGCGGATAATCACACAGAATACGCCATGTAAGTACTTTGTTTTCTTTAGTTCCTTTTTTTTTTTGGCTTGTCGAAATTTGGCAGGAGTGTGTTACAGAAAGAACTATAAATTTGAAGAATATTGATTATGATTGATATATTTAGTTTAAATGCTTATGATTTGTGCTGATCAGGAAAATGGTTCAGAGGTCGAAAACTGTACAGTCACAGAATTCATATGACGACCGAAATGGATTATGGAGTCATCACAATGTGAGTTCGTTTGGTTTTTACTGTTTTTAGTTCCTAGAGAACATTGAGCACACACAAGTTCATCATCGGTAGTCGGTACATAATTTTCTTCTGCACAGATGCAAAGTAGTTAAATATAAAGCACTGCAGCTTGACGAGAAGTTTCGCAGAAAAACTCAAGGAAGTGTTTGCAAACACTTACGTCGGAAAGAAAAAAAACGAGTCTACACAGTTTAATTAGATACGAATTAATGCAGGAGAAGGGTGCTTTTAGCTTCTACTTTACTAATGCATGTTTCAGCCTCTACTTTTTGCTTCATGATAAATTGCTTCCTGTATTAGTAAAAGTTGATTCACAAACTGATGCAGCTTCAAGCAAACATTGGTAATGATGTCCAGAAGGATCATATCGGTACAAATCTCCCATTCTTTGAAAGCCACGAGAAAATAGTGGCATGTTTAGAAACAATCCACATTAGAAAAAATACACAAAGCTCAAACATTAGATGCCTCAAGGATATTCTAATTGAATCCGAGCCAAATTCTCCAATTTCCCAACACTCGGCTAATAGCTCTCCAGAGGAAGATATTTCTTCTCAGGTATATTATCTGCTTCTTTCGTATCTTCCTAAAACTCCGCCATACCTTAAAACTGCTATTGCTCACAGAAAACCCGACTATACTTGCAAATTGCAATTTTGTCCACCAGATTTTTGCAGAAGTCACATTTGGTTCTTTGAGAATCGGAAGAATCAACGCAGAGGATCACGAAGCAACAGTTCACGATCAGAACGGTTCATTATCATGGTAATTGCATTCATCAGACAATTGTGATGTCCTTATTCAACTTACTGGTTCTTCTGGTTTGACATTAGTGCAAAGTGCAAAGTTCATATGAGTTTCCAAAAACACCGAAAAGCAAAATGCATGCTATTTTCTTTGAATAGGAACTCGCGATCCTTTTCTCACGACACAGAACCAGAAAAAACCGCACTGCATCAACTACTAACAGAAACCGACGGAATAAAATCCGGCGAATGCTTTTCCCGGAGTTTCTCCACTTCGTATTGCGACACAAACAAATCCACATTAGCCATAGCAAAACTGAACGAACACACTCCCACCCTCAACGACTACATACACGAGCAAGAGAATCCACACGCCCACTCAAAAAGGCATATAAATTCCCTATCCATCCGAAAAACCTCGAGCTGCCGCCCGAATCTCCTCCACTCCCAGCAAGAGGAAAACACAGCCATCGAGCACCACAATGCCCTGATCAATAAACTCATATCAAAATTATGCTTTGCAAACGGTGAAGACCACACAATCGACATGAAGTCGATATACGAGATGCTCAACTCAAAGCCTGGGCTCAAATACTCCCTGCTAAAGGACATCATCCTGGACCAGCTCTTGACCGCCATCTCCACCTCCAAAGAGGATCGTGTTGTCCGGACCTCCCTTGCCATACTCTCCACAATCGTCACCCAAAACCAGGAGGCAATTGAAGAGATCAAGAGAAAAGGGCTCAAATTGTACGACTTAGCAACGGCGCTCAAGCGGAATGTCCACGAGGCCGTCGTCCTCATATACCTAATTAACCCGTCGCCGGCAGAGATGAGGACGCTCGAGCTCCTGCCCTGCCTCGTTGAGGTCGTCTGCGCCTGCCGGAAGCCGGATCCGGCGCCGCCGCTGCTGACGCCGCCGTCGGCGTCGCTGATGATAATCGAGGTGCTGGTGACGGCGTTCGACGGGGAGACGAACGGCGCACACCTGGCGGCAATCAGCTCGCCCAGGGTACTGTCGGGGCTGGTGCGGGTGCCGAGGGGGGAGAATCCAGAGGAGCTCGTGTCGCTGGCGGCTGTGCTGGTCGAGTGCATGAGGTTCGACGGAGAATGCAGGAAGTACGTGGTGGAATACGCTCCGGTTGCAGCCCTTGTGAGCCTCCTGTGGAGGAACGAGAGACGCGCGTCGCGGGTGGCGCTCGAGTTTTTCAACGAGCTGCTTCGGATGCCAAGGTACAATGAAATTTATAATGGTGGTAAAAATAAATAAATAAATAAATAGATAAAAAATCCGTTAATTCATTTATCTTATCTAACTATATATGGATCCAACGGTTAAAACACCCAACGGGATGACATTGTAACGGGACTGTAGCGTTCTCGTCTTCTCAATATAAATCAAAGTCATGGTTATGTTTTGCTGCATTAGGTCATCAGCCAGTGGTTTACTGGAGCAGATACAAAAGCAAGGAAGCGGGAACAATGCGTGTGCTTTGCTTCTGCTCACACAGAATCGGGACACGGAGTACAGACTTCTGGCAGCAAATTTGCTACTTCAGCTACAAGTTCTTGTAAGTGATTATGTAAAACATTATATTCTCAACTTCTAAATCTTCACATGCCAATTTGCCATTCTCCATCGTTCGATTATAGCACAAATTCTGTTGCAATCTGACCGTCATAATTTCTTAACAGCATATAACATCTTTATCTTTTCAGGAAAATACGTCTGTAAAACGCGTTCATAAAGAAGAAGCAACGGAGATTATCATAGAATCACTTGCACGTGAAGATTGCCCAGCTACACAGGCTCTATCGGCATTCATCCTATCGAATCTCGGTGGGACCTACTCTTGGACAGGTGAACCATACACCATGGCATGGTTAGTGAAGAAGACCGGATTAACCTCGACACGTCACAGGAACTTGATTAAACACTTTGACTTTCATGATCCTAGCCTGCAGGTGAATAAACCTTTGTATTTCCTTTTTTTCTTCTTAAACAATGTTGCATTTCTATTTATTTATGTTTCTACTTGCAGGATGGTGGAATTGATCCATGGTGTAGTAGAACAGCGCAACGGGTATTACATCTTGGGGCTCCCGTTTTCCATGCATTGAGTAAGGGACTGAAGAGCGATTTCAAGAGAGTTTCACGAGACTGTCTTGTGGCTGCTGCTTGGCTCGGGTGTGAGCTGGTGAAAGGCCCGGATGAGCTGAGGCATGCTGCTTGTGACATTTTGCTACAGAGTATAGAACAGTACATGCATCCTGGTTCGGAGCTCGAAGAAAGATTGTTAGCATGCTTATGCATCTACAACTACACTTCAGGGAAAGGTACATGCCCTTTTTGGTGTTAGAAATTTTTTTAAGAAATTTGAAATGCTAACTACTGCTTCGGATTCTAAAATATCGGTGTAAAGTTCAAGAAACGATTTTCTAGTAGGTATCTTCAAATGGAACTTTTTTTTTTCTCAACACAGGAATGAAGAAAATAATCAATCTATCAGAAGGAGTGCGAGAATCACTGAGGCGCTTGTCCAGCGTCACATGGATGGCAGAGGAGTTGCTGAAAGTAGCTGATTATTTCCAGCCAAATAAGTGGGTGAGTGTAGTTAATGTATTAGTTCCGATTGCCTTAGAATGATATGCGGTGATGAAGGCGCTAACTTGGTTTATTTCAACTTTAAATGGGAAATGCAGAGAATATCGTGCGTTCACAGCCAGATTCTTGAGGTAGGACATAAAAACAGTGGAGCCGTGACTGCCCTCATTTACTACAAGGGACTATTGTACAGTGGATATGCCAATGGCTCTATTAAGGTTTCTTATTAGTGTTGTTCAATTAACCCGAACCAAAACATTTCATTTTCACGACTACTGGAAAAAATCCAAATGATAATTTTTGATAAAATCCCTTTTTTTTTTTCACACACCTAGTGGTAGAAACACTCGTTTAATGCAAATTTCCTTCATATGACTAGGTTTGGGACATCAAAAGACAAACAACTACACTTGTTCAAGAAATGAAAGAGCACAAAAAGGCCGTGACATGCTTTGCACTATATGAACCTGGGAACTGCCTTCTGAGTGGCTCTAATGATAAAACAATCAAGGTAACCGACTATTTCGTCTTTTATGCAGTGGAGTACAGTTGACAAATGACAGAGTTATTACTAATCTTTCAAAAAAAACTGTGTTTTTTTGACAGATATGGCAAATGCTCCATAGGAACCTCAAATGCATTGAGGTGATACCCACAAAGGAATCAGTTAGAAGTATAGATGCTTGTGGTGAATTGATATTTGCTACCACCCAAAGCCACAAATTGAAGGTAGGCACAATAGCAGCCCACGCAGAAAAATAACAAAAAGATTTCATCGAAACGAAAACAAAAACTACTGTCATTGACAAACATGGTCTTCAGGTTATTGATGCGTCAAGAAAAGCTAAAGACGTTTTCAAGAACAAATGCGTGAAGTGCGTACGGGTGTCACAGGGAAAAGTTTACGGAGGCTGCATCGATTCAAGCATTCAGGTTTAACCCATATCTCCCTACTTTCAACTTTTAAATTCTGAATAATTCATATAAATCCAGAAAGATTGACAATTTTGCGAAGCATATAAATGATCTGTTTGCGTTTTTCGCAAGATGACAATCACTTTTATTATGTGTTTCCGTATGTAAGCTCCCTCGACATACACTCTTTAAACAATGTAGGTAGTAACATAATGTTTAATCCAGGAATTGATGATTGTTAACAATCGCCAGCAAGAGATAAAAGCACCTTTAAAGAGCTGGATGCAGACTAAGCCTATAAGCTCGGTTGCCATATACAAAGACTGGTTATATTGTGCAAGCTCGGCTGTCGAGGGTTCCAAGATTAAGGTAACAAAAAAAAGGACAGTAAAACTGCACGTACTAGCATAGATATATAAAAAAGCTTGTCGTCTTTTTATTGATTGGTCGAGAAATGCAGGAGTGGAGAAGGAGCAACAAGCCTCAAATATCGATAATTCCCGAGAAAGGAGCAAGTGTTGTAGCTATGGAAGTACTTGAGGATTTCATATATATAAATTGCAGTACATCATTGAGCAGCCTCCAGGTAGAGTCTAATGAACAAATAAAGAGAAAAATCTAAAAATGCATAATAGTTTTTGTTTTCTAATCAAATTTTTTACTTGGTAAAAGACTGACTAATATAGATACAATTGTTTGATGACAGATATGGCTGAGAGGGACACAGCAAAAGGTTGGGAGACTGTCAGCTGGTAGCAAGATAACTAGTTTACTCTCAGCCAATGACATAATTCTGTGTGGAACTGAGAAAGGTCTAATAAAGGTAGTTGATGAATGATGAGCTTATGTGATAATCTTTTGTTTCTCAGTTTCACTTATGTTCTTTGATTCACTTCACAAATGTTCTAATTAGTTATTTTTTTTTAAAATATAATAGGGGTGGATTCCAATTTGAAGATGATTGCTAAATAAGGTCCTGAGTTCAAGCTGATGATGTTGGTTTTTGTGATATAATCAAATTTTGTGTAAATATATATATATATATATAGAGAGAGAGAAAATGGACAAGCAATGTAATTTTGTAAGTTGTTTGTTGTGTTGTTTGGCATTGTAATTTTGTAAATGTATTGAATATCTTCTACCTAGAAAAAGAGTTATGAAATAGTATGTTTTCTACATGACTAGTGTGGTACCGTGTGATGCACGAGCTAGTTTTATTAAGGTAAGCAGTTAAATTTGGATGATTGGAAGAACGTAAATTACATATATTGAAATGAAACACAATGTAATGTTATATATTATTAAACACATCATTGTACACAAAATTATTTGTTTGGTCTTTTGGTACATTGTCTATCGCCACAAATTATATTAAGATTGTAGATAGTCTTAAATAAATCGATTAAATTATTAGCAGAATATATACTATATTTTGTGAGTGTATGAAATCATTATTTATTTTGTAAGTGTATTCAATCAATTTCAAATTTGTATTCTAGATAATTAAACAAAACCCAAATTTTTAGGATGTCACAATCCGATTTCATTTTTTGGGTAACGAAAAAGAGAAGAAAAGGAAAGCCTTTTATCGAACGTTTTCCTATGGCCTTGACTGATTACACCTCAGAAAGAAGAAGAAAGAAATCCCTACTTTCCTGTCTTTTAATGGTCCGATTGGGGTCAGAAAATGAAGAAAAAGAAATAGCATAGTGTGGTAGTCGAGATCACCATCAGGAAATTCGTCAAATAAAATATAGGCAGTGAAATATCAAGCCTCCCTGAAGGCTACAAGAGGATTAGGTCGGGTCTTATCCCTATCCTACAGGGTGTTCTCGAACACTACACTATGTGACCCCTTCGAGACAATCCTGCAATACCATTTCTGAAGTCTAAGCAAGGTAGAGAGGGGACCAAACTTGGACATTTAGCAACCCTTTAGGGTCTGCGTCCACAGGTTGGGAACCGAACGCAGTAGCAAGTGCAACTAAGGCCCCCGCGATAGCAATAGTAGGGGCCTAACTACCTTTCCTTTACTAACAGAATCAAACCAGTTAAAGAATCCTTATACTTGTAGCTAACGGCTGGAAGCCAAGATGAAGCTAGCGGATGAAGAAAAGAGAATGTTAATATCAACTTTCTGTAATCCAAGATGAGTTAAGAAGAGAATGAGGAACTCATTCGAAAAGATGAGCCCTTTAAAAGGGCGATTAGACTTGCTTTAAGGACTTGAAAAGTCCGATTTAACCTGCTTTGAGCTCTTCAAGAACGACTTTAGGAGTGAAATGGAGTAATTTAAATTAATATTATATAACTTTGTTTTATGTTTAAAAAATTCCGAATTAAAGAAAGAAGTAATCAAATGAGAAAAGATTTTAAATTTAATTTGAAATTTAGCCTGATTTTTATGTAATCTCATTTTTCTAATAAACATGATCTGCTACAATTAGATAAAGATACATGTTATAGTGTTTTGTCTAATAATTCAAAATTCTCGATTGTATTGTAAACAAATTTATTTTAATAAAAAAATGGAAGAATTTTGACTTTTATAAAATTGTCATGCCGACTATGCAATCTGATTTTTATAATAAATAATTGATTTGTTGCAATTAGTAAAAGATATATGTGATAGTATTTTGCCTAATTTGAAATTCTTGATTTTATTTTAATCAGTTTTTTTAATAAAAATAGAGAAAAAAATTGACTTTTGCATTAGTTGAAATTTACCTAAATTAAATCACAAAATATATAAATTTAGGGTGCATATTAAAAAAAATAAAATTGTTGTACCATTTCAAGATTAAATCAATCGTAATTAGTTTTAATAAAAATATAATAGTTTCCAAACAAAACACTTTAGTTAGCCAAAAATTTATGGTATGCAATATTGTTTCTTTAAGGTAGCACGATTTTTTGAAAGAAAAGTAACAAATACCATAATATTAGGGTAGCGTTTAATGCTGATTTTTTTGGAAAAAAAAAAAAAA